GATGGTACATTCGCTGAGGCTCCAGCAAGTAAGGGTGGTTTGATAGTACATTCGCTGAGGCTCCAGAAAGTAAGGGTGGTTGGATGTTACATTCGCTGAGGCTCCGGAAAGTAAGGGTGGTTGGATGGTACATTCTCTGAGGCTCCGGAAAGTAAGGGTGGTGGGATGGTACATTCGCTGAGGCTCCAGCAAGTAAGGGTGGTTTGATGGTACATTCGCTGAGGCTCCAGAAAGTAAGGGTGGTTGGATGGTACATTCGCTGAGGCTCCGTAAAGTAAGGGTGGTTGGATGGTACATTCTCTGAGGCTCCGGAAAGTAAGGATGGTGGGATGGTACATTCTCTGAGGCTCCGGAAATTAAGGGTGGTTGAATGGTACATTCGCTGAGGCTCCGGGAAGTAAGGGTGGTTGGATGGTACATTCGCTGAGTCTCCGAAAAGTAAGGGTGATGGGATGGTACATTCTCTGAGACTCCGGAAAGTAAGGATGGTGGGATGGTACATTCGCTGAGGCTCCGAAAAGTAAGGGTGGTGGGATGGTACATTCGCTGAGGCTCCGGAAAGTAAGGGTGGTGGGATGGTACATTCTCTGAGACTCCGGAAAGTAAGGATGGTGGGATGGTACATTCACTGAGGCTCCGAAAAGTAAGGGTGGTGGGATGGTACATTCGCTGAGGCTCCGGAAAGTAAGGGTGGTGGGATGGTACATTCGCTGAGGCTCCGGAAAGTAAGGGTGGTGGGATGGTACATTCTCTGAGACTCCGGAAAGTAAGGATGGTGGGATGGTACATTCACTGAGGCTCCGAAAAGTAAGGGTGGTGGGATGGTACATTCGCTGAGGCTCCGGAAAGTAAGGGTGGTGGGATGGTACATTCGCTGAGGCTCCGGAAAGTAAGGGTGGTGGGATGGTACATTCTCTGAGGCTCCGGAAAGTAAGGATGGTGGGATGGTACATTCGCTGAGGCTCCGAAAAGTAAGGGTGGTGGGATGGTACATTCGCTGAGGCTCCGGAAAGTAAGGGTGGTGGGATGGTACATTCGCTGAGGCTCCGGAAAGTAAGGGTGGTGGGATGGTACATTCTCTGAGGCTCCGGAAAGTAAGGATGGTGGGATGGTACATTCGCTGAGGCTCCGAAAAGTAAGGGTGGTGGGATGGTACATTCGCTGAGGCTCCGGAAAGTAAGGGTGGTGGGATGGTACATTCGCTGAGGCTCCGGAAAGTAAGGGTGGTGGGATGGTACATTCTCTGAGGCTCCGGAAAGTAAGGATGGTGGGATGGTACATTCTCTGAGACTCCGAAAAGTAAGGGTGGTGGGATGGTACATTCGCTGAGGCTCCGGAAAGTAAGGGTGGTGGGATGGTACATTCGCTGAGGCTCCGGAAAGTAAGGGTGGTGGGATGGTACATTCGCTGAGGCTCCGGAAAGTAAGGGTGGTGGGATGGTACATTCGCTGAGGCTCCGGAAAGTAAGGGTGGTGGGATGGTACATTCTCTGAGGCTCCGGAAAGTAAGGATGGTGGGATGGTACATTCTCTGAGGCTCCGGAAAGTAAGGATGGTTGGATGGTACATTCGCTGAGGCTCCGAAAAGTAAGGGTGGTGGGATGGTACATTCGCTGAGGCTCCGGAAAGTAAGGGTGGTGGGATGGTACATTCGCTGAGGCTCCGGAAAGTAAGGGTGGTGGGATGGTACATTCTCTGAGGCTCCGGAAAGTAAGGATGGTGGGATGGTACATTCTCTGAGGCTCCGGAAAGTAAGGATGGTTGGATGGTACATTCGCTGAGGCTCCGAAAAGTAAGGGTGGTGGGATGGTACATTCGCTGAGGCTCCGGAAAGTAAGGGTGGTGGGATGGTACATTCGCTGAGGCTCCGGAAAGTAAGGGTGGTGGGATGGTACATTCTCTGAGGCTCCGGAAAGTAAGGATGGTGGGATGGTACATTCTCTGAGACTCCGGAAAGTAAGGATGGTGGGATGGTACATTCGCTGAGGCTCCGAAAAGTAAGGGTGGTGGGATGGTACATTCGCTGAGGCTCCGGAAAGTAAGGGTGGTGGGATGGTACATTCTCTGAGGCTCCGGAAAGTAAGGGTGGTGGGATGGTACATTCGCTGAGGCTCCGGAAAGTAAGGATGGTGGGATGGTACATTCTCTGTGACTCCGAAAAGTAAGGGTGGTGGGATGGTACATTCGCTGAGGCTCCGAAAAGTAAGGGTGGTGGGAAGGTACATTCGCTGAGGCTCCCGAAAGTAAGGATGGTGGGATGGTACATTCGCTGAGGCTCCGAAAAGTAAGGGTGTGGGATTGTACATTCGCTGAGGCTCGCGAAAGTAAGGATGGTGGATGGGACATTCGCTGAGGCTCCCGAGGATGGTACATTCGCTGGGCCTCCGAAAAGTAAGGGTGGTGGGATGGAACATTCGCTGAGGCTCCCGAAAGGAAGGATGGTGGGATGGTACATTGGCTGAGGCTCCGAAAAGGAAGGGTGGTGGGATGGTTCATTCGCTGAGGCTCCGAAAAGTAAGGGTGTGGGATGGTACATTCGCTGAGGCTCAGAAAAGGCGTGGAAGGTAGTGGTTGCATGTCCTTTTCTCCATGTACTCAGGTTTTAACCCTGCACGCTTCCATTTAGGCCTACCAGACTTATTTATATATTACTTTTGATAAATATGTGTCATGAATGTTTATAAAATAAGTTTATCTTTTCACGACTTTGCTAATTATCTTCTCTTTTTTATTCTTTCATGTTAACCGTTTTGAATATCTGGTTTGGAATGTGGTCATGTAACAAGACCGCCTATTACAAATGTACCACGTCCTATGGCATCAGTACATATAATGTACGTCCTTTGATCAAAGCCTACCAAACGAGCTCCTTTAAATCGACAGTCCCCTTAACCCGAACCCAAAACTCTTAAGAGAGCTGATAGAAATTATAAACATAAAGGATAGGAATAAAAAAAACAAGTAATAAGGAATTTCTTACGGATCACTCACAAAAACATTAAAGGTTTTTTTCTGATTAATTTTTAGGTTATCTAACAGCGCCCATTGTTTTGTCTTACCTTATTTTAAAGCCCTTTAATATTGTAATATAAGTATAATTAGCTCACCTGGTCCGAAGGACCATGGTGAGCTTATGCCATACCGCAGCGTCCGTCGTCCGTCCGTCAACTTTTCCTTTAAAACGCTACTTGTAATGAACGACTGAGCCCCCTGGGGGCTGAGGGGTGGGGCCCAATGGGGGAAATAAAGCAAATTCTTTAAAATCCTTCTTCTGTAGGAATCAAAGGATTTGTTCCATATTTGGTCAGTGTAGCAATCTTGGGTGAAGGGGAACCAATTTTGTATAAACCATTGGTGTGGCCCCCCAGGGGCCTGATGGGCGGGGCCAAATAGGGGAAACACAGCAAATTATTCTTTAAAATCGGTCTTCTTCTGTAGGAATAAAAGTAGTTGGTCCAAATTTAGTGTGGAGCATCATTGGGTAAAGGGGACCCAATTTTGTATAAACGGTGGGTCTGGCTTCGCTGGGGGTGAGGGGCGCGGCCCAATATGGGAAATATAGCAAATTCTTTAAAATCCTTCTTATTCTGTATGAATGAAAGGATTTGTTCCATATTTGGTCTGAAGCATCCTTGGGTGAAGGGAAACCAATTTTGTATAAACTGTGGGTCTGGTCCCCACAGGGGCCTGAGGGGCGGGGTCCAATAGGGGAAACATAGCAAATTATTCTTTAAAATCCTTCTTCTTTTGTAGGAATGAAAGGATTTGTTCCATATTTAGTCAGAAGCGTCCTTGGGTGAAGGGGAACCAATTTTGTATAAATCGTGGGTGTGGCCTACCCTGGGGACTTAGGGGTGGGGCCCAATAAGGGAAATATAGCAAGTTCTTTAAAATCCTTCTTCTTCTGTAGGAATGAAAGGATTGTTCCATATTTGGTCTGAAGCAACCTTGGGTGAATGGGAACCAATTTTGTATAAACCGTGGGTGTGGCCCCCAAGGGGCATGAGGGGCAGGGCCCAATAGGGGAAACATAGCAAATTATTCTTTAAAATCCTTCTTCTTCTGTAGGAATGAAAGGATTTCGTCCATATTTGGTGTGGAGTATCCATGGGTAAAGGGGAATCAATTTTGTATAAACGGTGGGTCTGGCTTCGCTGGGGGCTGAGGGGCAGGGCCCAATAGGGGAAATATAGCAAATTCTTTAAAATCCTTCTTCTTCTGTAGGAATGAAAGGATTTGTTCTGAAGCATCCTTGGGTGAAGGGGAACCAATTGTGTATAAACCGTGGGTCTGGCGCCCCAGGGGCCTGAGAGGCCGGGCCAAATAGGGGAAACATTGCAAATTATTCTTTAAAATTCTTCGTCCGTAGGAATGAAAGGATTTGGTCCATTTTTGGTGTGGAGCATCCTTTGGTAAAGGAGAACCAATTTTGTATAAACGGTTGGTGTGGCCCCCCTGGGACTTGACGGGCGGGGCCCAATAGGGGAAATAAAGGTAAAACCTTTAAAATCCTTCTTCTACCATAAAGATTAAGGGATTTTATCCTAATTTAGTCTGGAGCATCAATGGGCCAAGGGGACTCAATTTTGTATAAGCAGTGGGTGTGGTCTCCCAAGGGGCAGAAGGGCGGGGCCCAATAGGAGAAATAGAGGACCTTTAAAACCCTTCTTCCACCATCGGGATTACAAGTATGGGATTTTATCCTTATTTAGTGTGGAGAATCCTTGGGTCAAGGGGACTCAATTTTGTATAATTGGTGGGTATGACCCCCCTAGGGGTGGGACTCTGTTTGAAGTTTGTTCTTACTATATCTCAAGTACTGTATGGATCTTTCTGAAATTTCATATGTACTTACAGCACCTACTTCATACCAATTATTTTAAACATATTCAGGTGAGCGATACAGGCCCTCTGGGCCTCTTGTTATATTAATGTATTCGAGTGAATCGCAACAAACTTACAAATTGTATTGAACTTACTAAAATAACATATCTTTTGAAGGTGGGAGACCTTTTGTGATTGGCCATTCCCATAGTCCAGATTGGGTGGACCGAGAAGCAGACGAAAATGACGTCAATAGAATAATGCAGGATTTACCTCCCCCTTACACTCCTCCTTATGAAACAGAGGTGAAAGATGGAGATTTGCCACCTTCTTATGCTGACGCAGTTGTCATGTATAGTTATGACAACTCTGGAACTGATGACGTCACACGATCATATGATGAGAATGAAGTAAGTTCGGACGATTATGACACAGACAATAGGACGGACTACAGTGTTGATGATGACGTATACTATGACGTCACATATGATGAAAATGTTCCTTATGGTGCTAATGAAATAGGAAATGGTGACCCTGATAACGATTCCCCAGGCGATCAGGATTGTGAGGTTAGCTCCTAACCTAATGGTTATACACATTGGAAAGCATTGATGACGAAGTTCTAGAAGAACTACACGGATTCTGTGCCATCCTATTTAAAATGCGACATGCTTCCTACTGTTAGAATGAATAAGTAAGTGATGTAGGCTTATTTTTCTCCCCCCTCTCGTATGGAACACCCCTGTGTGATATGTGTATCCAATATGGCTGACATCAGTGTCTTTAATAATTATGATATTATGACGTCACAATCGAAAGCCCGCCATTTTGATTGGCTGTGCCATCTTGTCATCAGCAAGTTACACCATCTCAGGAACATAATAGTTATTGCACAAGTTTGTCTTTTATTTAGGGGATAGCACGTTGTTTTGAGTGGCTACTATACTGGCGATTAGAACATGAAATTTGGGTTTGAACTCGAGACCGATAGGTCGAGAGTTTAAACCAAATTTCATGTTTTAATCGCTAGTATAGACACGAAAAACAACGTACTATCCCCATTCTAACACATTAACAAATATACTACGCTAATATGTTTAGAAACATTGTATTTCCTTGTACAAAAGTACGTAGTAAAATACTTTGTGACCTGAACTGATGACGTGTCATTCTGCAGCGGACTGACCAATCGGATAGAAGCTTTCAAAAGTCGGTCGTTTGGCCCCGCCCATACTGGCGAGCGTTCGATATGTATGTTGACGAGGCGGAATATTTGGATTGTTCGTGAACGTCCTGTTACCAAAGTTTATACGACACATTTGGATTAATATTGACCAAGTTCTTACATGTCCATGTCAGTATGCATACCAATATGTGCTTATCGACAAAATCGGTGATTATTTGTATAGATTTGTGAATAGTTTTGTGTAAATGCATACGACACATGTGAAATGTTTCATTTGATTTCGGATCTAAATAGATGCCTTCACACGGATGGAACGAACGTTTCAGTAATAAATGGAGGTAAGAACAAGGAATGTGTACTTTTTACTTTTTGATTCATTCAACAAATACATTTCATCGGTCGTTTCTGTTCTGTTGCCTACTAGCCGTATTAGCGGGATTTCGCTAAGAGGCGAACTTGACGCCATATTGTTTTGGTTTGAAACGGGGCGTGGCTTAAGTGCGATGGGAGGAGCTTAACACGATCGATCATGATACATGGTCCATATCCAATCAAAACACGCGTTGCAAACGAATCGTGTTAGAATATCGCATTGGTGCCTAAATAAGGTACACCGTATCAATGGGTGCAGAATTCGGTGTTTTCGGTAATACAGCCTCGGTTCTGAACAAAATTCTTCGCCTTCGGATATAATATCTATATCCACACATGATAGACTAGGTTATAATTGAAAAGGTTTCTAAAAGAAACGATGTAATAAAAACAAAATAATGGCAAACGTCAAATGACATTTATATCTCGTCCATCAGTAAATATACCTATAATTATGTATAGAGTGAGAGTCACGAGGACAACTCGGGCTCAATATTCTGGACTTATTCCCATTGAGAAGATTGTGTTCAGAATGGTCACTTGATTATAATAGAAATCTTTTCTTACGGTATATGGTACAGTATGCCTGTAATCTTGTGAATCATACCTGGGTTTCGAAGTAAAGAAATCATGATTTTAGTCCCAAGAGGTAATTTCTATGAAGTGAAATCTTGTTTTCGTATCATGAGCTATTTTTTATTGAACAAGTTGAACCATTTTACTGACGTTAAGGTCCTGTTTTATCATGTAATCATAGCTACCATTGTTTAATTGGCTCCCACTAACTTGCTTACAACATTGTCAAATCAAACAACTCAATGTGCCTTATTTCAGTCAGCCGTAGAAGCCATATCAATGTTCGATACAGAAAAAACAAGGTATCTGAATTATATTTATTATTATCTCAAATCTTTGGCTCATTTGGTTTCTTTTTGCTATTGATATAAAACTCTTTTTTGTGTTCTATTCGTTTTCTACAACAGGATCTGATATTTTAGATGTTTTTATTCTTTTAATATGGTAATGGTTAGACAGGAGTCAACAAACTGAAGTCCGTTCGGTTCAATGTGTTGCTCGTCCGGAACACAATGATGTCTGTCCGGTACAACATAGTGCCGTTTGCAACATTATGTTGTTTGTCCGGTTCATCATGCTATCTATCAAGAACACAATGCTATATGACCGGTACAAAACATGTACATTTCTTGTCTGTCAGGTGAGCATGCTTTCATTCCGAGCGGTATCACATGATGTCTGTCTGACACACTCACCTATTGTCTGTCTGACCCACTCACCCATTGTCTGTCTGACCCACTCACCCATTGTCTGTCTGACACACTCAACCATTGTCTGTCTGACCCACTCACCCATTGTCTGTCTGACACACTCACCCATTGTCTGTCTGACACACTCACCCAATGTCTGTCTGACACCCTCACCCATTGTCTGTCTGTCTGACACACTCACCCATTGTCTGTCTGACACACTCACCCATTGTCTGTCTGACACACTCACCCATTGTCTGTCTGACACACTCACCCATTGTCTGTCTGACACACTCACCCATTGTCTGTCTGACACACTCACCCATTGTCTGTCTGACACACTCACCCATTGTCTGTCTGACACACTCACCCATTGTCTGTCTGACACACTCACCCATTGTCTGTCTGACACACTCACCCATTGTCTGTCTGACACACTCACCCATTGTCTGTCTGACACACTCACCCATTGTCTGTCTGACACACTCACCCATTGTCTGTCTGACACACTCACCCATTGTCTGTCTGACACACTCACCCATTGTCTGTCTGACACACTCACCCATTGTCTGTCTGACACACTCACCCATTGTCTGTCTGACACACTCACCCATTGTCTGTCTGACACACTCACCCATTGTCTGTCTGACACACTCACCCATTGTCTGTCTGACACACTCACCCATTGTCTGTCTGACACACTCACCCATTGTCTGTCTGACACACTCACCCATTGTCTGTCTGACACACTCACCCATTGTCTGTCTGACACACTCACCCATTGTCTGTCTGACACACTCACCCATTGTCTGTCTGACACACTCACCCATTGTCTGTCTGACACACTCACCCATTGTCTGTCTGACACACTCACCCATTGTCTGTCTGACACACTCACCCATTGTCTGTCTGACACACTCACCCATTGTCTGTCTGACACACTCACCCATTGTCTGTCTGACACACTCACCCATTGTCTGTCTGACACACTCACCCATTGTCTGTCTGACACACTCACCCATTGTCTGTCTGACACACTCACCCATTGTCTGTCTGACACACTCACCCATTGTCTGTCTGACACACTCACCCATTGTCTGTCTGACACACTCACCCATTGTCTGTCTGACACACTCACCCATTGTCTGTCTGACACACTCACCCATTGTCTGTCTGACACACTCACCCATTGTCTGTCTGACACACTCACCCATTGTCTGTCTGACACACTCACCCATTGTCTGTCTGACACACTCACCCATTGTCTGTCTGACACACTCACCCATTGTCTGTCTGACACACTCACCCATTGTCTGTCTGACACACTCACCCATTGTCTGTCTGACACACTCACCCATTGTCTGTCTGACACACTCACCCATTGTCTGTCTGACACACTCACCCATTGTCTGTCTGACACACTCACCCATTGTCTGTCTGACACACTCACCCATTGTCTGTCTGACACACTCACCCATTGTCTGTCTGACACACTCACCCATTGTCTGTCTGACACACTCACCCATTGTCTGTCTGACACACTCACCCATTGTCTGTCTGACACACTCACCCATTGTCTGTCTGACACACTCACCCATTGTCTGTCTGACACACTCACCCATTGTCTGTCTGACACACTCACCCATTGTCTGTCTGACACACTCACCCATTGTCTGTCTGACACACTCACCCATTGTCTGTCTGACACACTCACCCATTGTCTGTCTGACACACTCACCCATTGTCTGTCTGACACACTCACCCATTGTCTGTCTGACACACTCACCCATTGTCTGTCTGACACACTCACCCATTGTCTGTCTGACCCACTCACCCGTTGTCTCTCTGACACACTCACCCATTGTCTGTCTGACACACTCACCCATTGTCTCTGCAACACTCACCGATTTTTGTGTCTGGCACACTCACCCATTGTCTGTCTGACACACTCACCCATTGTCTGTCTGACCCACTCACCCATTGTATGTCTGACACACTCACCCATTGTCTGTCTGACCCATTTACCCATTGTGTGTCTGACACACTCACCCATTGTTTGTCTGACACACTCAAACATTGTCTGTCTGACACACTCACCCATTGTGTGTCTTACACACTCACCCATTGTGTGTCTGACACAATCACCCATTGTTTGTCTGACACACTCACCCATTGTTTGTCTGACGCGCTCAAACATTGTCTGTCTGACACACTCGCCCATTGTCTGTCTGACACACTCACTCTGACACACTCACCCATTGTCTGTCTGACACACTCACCAATTGTCTGTCTGACACACTCACCCATTGTCACACTCACCCATTGTCTGTCTGACACACTCATCCATTGTCTGTCTGACACACTCACCCATCGTCTGTCTGACACACTCACCCATTGTCACACTCACCCATTGTCTGTCTGACCCACTTACCCATTGTCTGTCTGACAGACTCACCCATTGTGTGTCTGACACACTCAAACACTGTCTGTCTGGCACACTCGCCCATTGTCTGTCTGACACACTCACTCCTTGTCTGTCTGACCCACTCACCCATTGTCTGTCTGACCCACTCACCCGTTGTCTCTCTGACACACTCCCCCATTGTCTGTCTGACCCATTTACCCATTGTGTGGCTGACACACTCACCCATTGTCTGTCTGACCCACTTACCCATTGTCTGTCTGACACACTCACCAATTGTCTGTCTGACCCACTCACCCATTGTGTGTCTGACACACTCAAACACTGTCTGTCTGGCACACTCGCCCATTGTCTGTCTGACACACTCACTCTGACACACTCACCCATTGTCTGTCTGTCACACTCACCCATTGTCTCTGCAACACTCACCGCTTTTTGTGTCTGGCACACTCACCCATTGTCTGTCTGACACACTTAAACATTGTCTGTCTGACCCCCTCACCCATTGTCTGTCTGACACACTCGCCCATTGTCTGTCTGACACACTCACCCATTGTATGTCTGACACACTTAAACATTGTCTGTCTGACCCACTCACCCATTGTCTGTCTGACCCATTTACCCATTGTCTGTCTGACACACTCACTCATTGTCTGTCTGACACACTTACTCATTGTCTGTCTGACACACTCACCCATTGTGTGTCTGACACACTCACCCATTGTGTGTCTGACACACTCAAACACT